TATATATTTTTTTTTTTTTTTAAGACAAATAAGTTTAACCTGAAGTTATGGACTTTTATTGAACTCCGCCCCCGATTGCATGAATGAATTAATATTTGAAAGAGATAGATGTTGTTTGGTACAGACAAAAAAGAAAAGAAGTTAGGTTGAAGTGTTCCACACAAATGGCTATATTAATGGGGGTGAAGATTCTATTTTTATTGTTTACGTATTTACCATAATGCATTTATTTGTTTGATTGTTAAGTAGGTATGATTTGTGGTGTTTGGAAGTTTGGCATAATATGTGGAGTAGTAAGTAGGAACGTCGTCTCTTTTCCCTTTTTACTTACGTAGCATCATAAAAATAAAAATAAAAATAAAAAATATATGCCTGGCTCATATATCGGTTCCAAGTCCGAATAAAGGAAGAGAGTTTATGATCGGGTAATTATCAGTGTAAAATTTATTAATGAATTCTCGTAATACATATTTGAAATTTATATACGCAAATATATTTATGAGAATTCATACAACTAATCACGTCTAACTTGTATTGCTTTGGTTGAGAATCGAGCATTCCTCTTGTGTTTTGTCAATGTGTAACTCTGGGAAAAGTTTAGGCCTTAGGGTATTACATGCATCCCCTCTTATGGACTCAGCATCCTCGCTGAGGTTTGCCTCATCGTGTTCGCCTAGACTCAGCATTGAGGTTTGCCCCATCGAACCAGGATTTGCCTAAACTCTGTTGAACTCTGACCCACCATCAACAAGGCTGATACAAGAGTGGTTTCAATACCATCTGTAACACCCCAGCCCAGTAGTGATATTATCCGCTGTGGGCCTAGGCTCTCACGGGTTTAAATCGCATTACTAGGATCTAAGGCTTTTTAATTTTTATATCCAGCATCCCCTTATGTGTAGGACTCTGTTTAAAATCTGGATGTTACAACAATTACGTGCAAAATTTAAACTTTATAAATTTAACTTTAATATAAGTTATTTAAATAACGTAATTATTTAAAAGTTCCAAACTTAATTTCTTTGACATTTTAGTAAATATGTTGCATGTTGAAAACAATAAATTCAATTAAACACGTCAAATCTACAGGCACCATGAAATAACATATGCCTTGTTAACGTAAATCTAGATTTAGCTTGAGATTAAATTTCATAAGCTAATCAATGGAATGTCTGAAAAATAACGTTTTTAAAAATATCAAAAAAATAAAAAATAATAATAAAAAAAGTGTAAATGCCCTTTTTCAAAAGTTAGTAGGAATACATGTTTCGAAGCAGTACTCGAACATGTGTATTGACTATTATTCAATGTCATCTCAATTTGTTTAAATGTTTTGGTTTTTGTCCTTCTTATAGTAAGGTGTTAGGTATAACAAAAGGTCAAAATTTGAGCCACCTAGGGACTTTTGGAGAAAGTTTATTCATCTTACAAATTAATTTAGGAAAATGACATTCTATAGTCGCTATCAAAATAATAACAGATTTTTTTGTTGTTGTATATTTCTAATATATATACATTTCTATATGATATATACAACGACAACAACAACAACAAAAGAAAAAAACTCAATGTAATCTCACATAGTGATGTTGGCCGTATGTTATATAAGAAAATATACAAATTTTACATTTTTTTGCACAGATGCGGATCTAGGATTTTAGTTCTATGGGTCAACATTTAAAGTTATGGGTGAATCTACTATTTTTGTAATTTTAGTGATTTACGCATAAATTTATGTTCCTCGTCGAAAGTACTGGGTCTTTTTTATAGTGCATCCGCCCTACTTTTACGGCTACCAAATATTAAATAGTTTTGGCCACGGGTAGAAGTGATCTTTGCCCAATTAACTTTTGCTTCCGTCAACATTTTTGGGGTATTATCACTTTTAGTCCGCGCCAAAAAACTATTCACATCTGATAGCCGAAAAAGTGTATAAAATTTGTATAATTTTTGTATATAATAAACAGAATGTGTGTGTGTACATGTATGTATGTATATATGTATGTATGTCTATATATCGATTATTATTTTTACAATGATTATATAGCGTTATTTTTCTAGCATTTAAACAAAATAATTGATCAATAAAGAATGGTCGTCCACTTACAAAAGCGTGTATAGAGTTATTTCCTTGGCTTTTTTCACGTTATGCATGTGTTTGGATTTGACTATATTATGGTTAGATAAATAAATCAACAAAGGGGTTCTTCTAATATAAGAAAGCATTTGATTCGTAGATTATGGTTTTAACGATGGGACAAAATCTTTTTGGTCTTGTCAATTGGATGATACCATCACTGTATAAAATAATTTTATAAACTAGCAAGTGAAGAGAAAAGAACATTTATTCTTACAAGAAAAGAAAAACTATAAGGAAGAGATCAGATTATAAAATTTGAAAAATAATATTGTAAGCAACTAGCAAGTGAAAAGACAAATACGTTTACTCAGGGGCGGAGATTGAGGGTCGAGAGTGAGTTTAGCCGAATCCAGTAGCTTTAGTTCGAATTTTATATTTGTCTTAAAAAATTTATTGAATATATAAATTATTAATTTAGAATCCAATCGCAATTAAAATTCTGAACCATAAACTTGAAATTTTCACTTTGCTTCTGCATTTAATCTCGGAAAAGAAAAAGAAAGAGAACGAAAAGGAGTCAGATTCTAGCCTCTCTGTGATGCCCCTGAATTCACTATTGTTAAGCTGCTTCAGCAAAGGTTTAAGCCTTTTAAGCTTTTGCCATATATTCCTCATAGGATCATGCTCTTGCTGTTCTTTCCATACTTCTTCTACAAGTGTCATGAATCTTGGATGTTCTGCCCAGACATTAAAGAATCTAAAGGGGATCTTGCCATATGGTATTTGCCTTCTGATATTGATAACCATTGGTGCATGATCTGATATAAATGGGAGCCTATATTCTGCTTCCATGTGACCATATTCCTGCATCCATTCATCATTTCNAGTTGGGATACAGTCAAGGAGCATTGCCTTTCAAATACTTAGGCATTCCACTTGACTCCAAGAAGCTTTCAATCTTGCAATGGCAGCCCCTCATTGACAAAATAGTGGCAAGAATTTCATCTTGGACAGCTAAGAAGCTGTCATATGCAGGAAGAATCCAATTGGTTCAGCATGTCATTTTTGGTATCCAAGCATACTGGGCACAAATTTTTATCATGCCAACTAAAGTGGTCAAGACAATTGAGGCTTATTGCAGAAGCTATGTTTGGTCAGGGGAGAATGTAATAACAAAAAAGGCATTGGTATCTTGGGAAAGGATGTGTGCACCAAAAGCTACAGGGGGACTAAATATGGTTAACCTAGCACTGTGGAACAAAGCTGCAATAACAAAATATACCTGGGAGCTGGCAAACAAGAAAGATAAACTGTGGATCAAATGGATCCATAGTTATTACATTAAAGACCAGGTTTTCTACACAATGGGAGTACCACAACAATCATCATGGATGCTGAAGAAAATATTTGAGGCAAGAACTAATCTGGCAGGGATTACTGGAAATCAAGACAAACAGGAAAAGGTGATCAAGCAGGTGTACATGCAGCTGATAGGGTGATGCCAAAGGTAGCATGGAAGGGACTAATGTACCAGAATCAAGCTAGGCCAAAAGCAACATTTATACTATGGTTGCTGATGCATGGTAGACTACAAACTGCAGATAGGTTGAAGAAATGGAAGATCCAAATTGATGACTTATGCTGTTTTTGCAAACAAGCTCTAGAAACAAAAGAGCACCTGTTTGCAGAATGTAGGTATGGCAGAGATATGTGGAGCAGGCTAATGCAATGGATCCAAATTCAAGTTAACTTACCTTCATGGACAGAATGGCAGCAATGGATAACACAGAAGACGAAGGGAAGATCACAAATGGCTAGAATTCTCAAATTGATAGTTGCAGAATTTGTGTATACTCTGTGGATAGAAAGAAATGCAAGAATCTTTGAAAACACAGCTACAACATGGGATATACTAGCAAAGAAGATAGCTTGTGTATGTAGTATGAGAGCTGAGGGTTATACTGAAGTTTTGCTAGCACAATATAAGTACTAAATAGATGTAGCTGCTAGATTTTTTGATAAAGGATAGAGGATTGAAATCAGGATATAGGTTAGGTTGAGATGACCTACTGTTTTGTAAATATTACTTTGGTGATTAATATAAAGATTTAATTACCAAAAAAAAGGAGTCAGATTTAGCTTTAAATTCTTCCTTTACTGTCGGTAACAAATAGAGGAACTGAACTGTCTCAGCACGTTTTAAATTCAACCCACGAGAATCAAGCGCTTTGATAATCTATCTCGCACCAAATTTTACTATTCCTATATGATAATATATAATGGGGTTTAAGTTTGTTATTGTAACACTTATATCTTCGATTAATCGCCTCTTCATGAAAACTATACTTTATTTTTTGGGCAAAGATTATTTTTAATCTGCGGCCAAAATTATTTTGTATTCGGTAGCCGTTAAAGTATAAATATATATATATACTTTAACGGCTACCGAATACAAAATAATTTT